AATACGAAAAATAGTTGAATGTAAGACACTGTTTGAGAGCTATAGTTGAAACTTCGCTAGTGAAAGGTTTTATAGGGTCAAAAACGATTAGTCCGCATTAATTTGTAAAGATATGGTTAGAAAGTTACTGAGGACAGTTATGGCTGATAACTTGCGAAAATAGTTCATATTCTGCGGGAAAGACAGCATAACTGTTGTTAAAGCAACACAAGGTGTAACATCGTCACTCGGGAATGACAAAGTCTCCCAGGGTTAGGTGGGCATGTAACCATAGGAGACGAGTTTCTAAGACATTGTTGCTATCGTTTACTTAGCTTCACATAATATGGCTTCTTTCTAAAGCAGTTTATCTACTTCAGCGAGGTCCAAAAAATCTCTATATTGCTTTTTTTGCTGCATGAGACTTCACCTTTTATTGTTACTACATTCATTTTTTTATTTCAACGATGGCAAAGAGTTTTCGAGAAGCATGAAAATTATTTTAAAAAAGATACTTTGCGATTTATTTTTCCAAGGGTATAAGCTATTCAAAAATTGCATCCTTTTACGCAGATCGATACTGAGATATATCGATTTTCGGACATTCATACCTTTTATAGTGATGTTGCTTTTCCCAACGTATTACCACACTCCTCAAGGCACTGTCTTAGAGTGTTACTGTCTAACTTTGCAGAAAATCTCTTAGAATTGAAAGTACACATGTGCTGTTAGTTGCACGAGACTTTTTTCTTCAATTGGGCCCATTATTATTAATATTATTGTTGCTTTGGCATCTAATATAGCAGCAAAGTTTACATCAAGAGGTTGTCACAGTTGTGGAAATTTCACAAAACGTTCCTTTTTTCCAGTGTTCCATAACTCTGTCGTCGAGTTAAGCCATTATTATGTTTGAATTCCGATTAATCTATGAAAGTCAACTTATCTAGAAACATTATTTTCATAGCTTTACTTTCACACTGTCATAGAGTGGACAGCATGTGCCGGTGATTCAGTTCTTCTCAAAATATGCTGTTTAGATATCTGCCGGAGGCGACTACATTGCTAAAAAGCTATGTGATGAAATTCGTGGATTCATGTCTGATTTCCAGGTGCCGAACGGTCTCAAAGCGTTAGGTTTTCAGTTCTCGGACATCGGTAATGTCATGCTTCATTCTATACTAATTTCTTCAACTGGCTTTTTTCCTTCCAGAAAACCTCGCCAAAGCCGCAGTGAACTCTGTCCAGAATATTGCAGTGACGCCGATGCCAACCGATCAGGAAATTATTGCACAGTTATATGAGAAATCGCTCATTGTCTACTAGTTTTACGAATTTCTTACACTTATTTTTTGTTTGTTCACAATGCTAAAGTAATTCGAGAACGAACTAAGGGCAAAGTAATTAAGTACACTGTGAGAACATTACAGACGACCTCATCGTTTCGTTTTTACACCAAATACGTTCCTTGTTAGATGAACTTGTTGTCAATGGAGTTCTAACGTGTAATGGTGCTTTCTTAATACAAGCCTAAAAGACGTCTATCGGAAGACGTCCATGATGACCTTCTGATCGTCCCGAATTGAACCTTAACTTGTTAACGTCGATGTCATGCACCATTTACAATCTTGTTATTCGTGTCTATATTTAAGTTTTGATAGTATTTGTGACGCTGCAGTTATAATAACAATTTTAACCTATTGTTTACTGCCTATTCTTTTTAACGGCAGGGTATATTGCGAAATATAACTTTCAATGATGCTGAAGTATTTGCAGAACTTCGGACCGTAGGTGTCTTGAGTGGGGAACGAACGCACTATTGTCCTTTCCGGGGAGTAACGCGTTCACCACGACACAATGCGGGTCCTTCGTTTCGTCTGTCTCTCAGCTAGTTCTACCGATCTTTTGCCATCAGCAAAGGTTGCAAATAAAAAGGTTAGGATTGTGATTATAACTATAGCCTCAGCTTAACTGGGTTCAATGCCGAATTAGGCTCCCCAGATCAATCCCGTTCATGGGTGATTGCTGATGGCAAAAGGTCGATAGAACTAGCTGAGAGACAGATGAAGCGAAGGACCCGCGTAGTGTGGTGGTGAACGCGTTACTCCCCGGAAACGACAATAGCGCGTTCATTCCCCACTGCAGACACTTGCGGTCCGGAGTTTTGCAAATGTCTCAGCATTATAGTAGTTATACAAACAGTTTTTATATACCACTCCTAGATCGATTTTCAAGGCACTGTGACTTGAAAACCAGTAGAGGGAGTAAGAGGATAGAGAATAAAGCTCTGTAGTGATCAACCACTAAGGGATGAATGAAGGTTAGAGATGCGTGAATACATATATGAGCTATACAGTGACTTTCAATGGTCTACCGATATATCAAGCAAGTGCTGCTATTGTCTCGGACAAGTCTGGTACCAATTTGCCGACCACGAAGGTGTGCAAGTCTTTGTGAAGCTGAGGCACGAAATCGAGTTAACGAGTATGGAAACAGATCGCTATTTATTGTGTAGCTCCCTAAGTTCATCCATCGTTATAAATGAGAGACCACTTCATCGCTTGAGCTTCTATTCTCTGTTATGGGTTCTATGTGTAGGAAATCTTGGATGCACATTATAGAATAATCTTCATCCTTGGATATTATATCATTGGTGCAGTAGGAACTTCCTCTCCAAGTTTTTTTAACTCATCGGAGCCTGTTCAGACTCAATTTGTAATAGAACTCCGATCACCAATCTTTTTCGACAGAACACGGATCTGGCAACTAAAATTGTCGCCAAAAAGTGTAACCAATCAATTATGAACACGACAAGGTTAACGTCATCAAGGAACTAATGGATGTACTCGCCTACGCTCAAAAAGGGTAAGTAGAGAATAACGATAGGAATTCTTCCACTTCCTGTTTTTTTTATGGCCGTTTTCTCTTCAGATCAACTAAATAGCGTTGTATTTTAATTCGTCAGATCCCACCTCTTACTGTAAACACTTCACTTTTTTCTTACAGCAATTTCTCAACATCCAACTTTTCATTCAATTCAATAACATCTATTGGAAAATCGTAGTGCAGACGACTTTTGTCGCAAGAACGTGTATTTTCACAACAATCATAATATTACAATAAGGACAACGTTGGAGAATTTTCACACGAATTTCCCTTTTTGTTATCAATCGATGAGAACCGGTTCTTGTTATTTAACACTCAAGTTTGTTCGAATCATTTCTACAGGTTTCTTTGTCGATTACTTATTTTTTCCAACTTACATGAGTTGTTACATAACCTTTGATAACATGTTATACTACCTTAAAGGTTGTAGGTTCGCCTACTCATGCTGAGGGTAGGTGAAGGTCGGTCTGTAGTAAGATAATAAGGTAAGAGAATACATTTGATTTTTTCCGCTTGATATTTTCCGTTCACTGTCCACTTTACATTTGTTTCATGTTAGTGCTTGATAATACTGTCGATACAAAGATATTTCCATGTATATCAGACGAAATGATCGAAGTTAGTAAATGACAACCAAGCACCTCACTAACTGGTCGTTGGATCGTATGTGCCCTAACACCTTAAAATTCACTTCAAAGAAACAAGACAGTGCTTTTTTGTCAAGCCGTATTTTTGCGGTTGTCATCATTTACAACTAGACAGTAACAAAAAATGGATGTGACCATAAATTCTATTAATCAACATGCTTACTACATTTCTTGTTTCCATCGCTCAAAAAGCATTTCGGGACATACTTGATTTAATCAAATTCTTAAGATCTTGGATGATTCTTGTTGAAAGAGAGTCTTCCGGATCCTAGAATCCATTCAGCTGGCATGCTAACGATTTGGTAAGATCTATTTTCTTGATTCCCGAGGAGAAAGTGCTAAGGCTTGCGGATTCGTTGTCATAATCACTTGTCCGTCGTTAAAAATCGGAACGAAGTTTGGCTCCTAGATTTGCCTCAAAACAGTGCGTGTTTCTGCCCTTGGTTTAGTGTAACCTGGGTTTATGAATGGAAATTTCTGACGCACCACCTTAGGTGGTCTTTTTAGGATGAAATTTTTAAGTATAGCCCGAATGTTTTTCACGTTTTCTACCGCACGCTTCATTAAAAGCAGTCTACTTTACGTTTTTAAGCAGTTTGGTTACACGTTTTTTCCTCTTATTTAGAGAAGTGTACCAGAATAAGCCAGTCAGATAAATGTAAGAAGTAGATTACCCTTTTCACATACAAAACAGGCACTAAGGATTATTGTTTTTACATGTTGGGATTTCCTAGAGAAATCCCATGACCTGCCTCCGTTAATAATTGGTAAATTGGTCAGAGCGCTTCACAGAATCCATTCAGTAGTCATTTCCATCTTTTTCAGAAATTTTTATGTTATTTTTCTCAAGTTCCTAGATTAGGAGTTCCTACATTTAATAATGTTCTTGTTGGGCTACAGTGCACTCTTAAACAAGTGTCACATAGCCATGCAGATCCTACAGAATGATGTGTATTTGTATTGTACATGTGTACTTATGCATCTGTTTGTGTATCTGTGTCTGTGTGTATGTACAGCCATGGACTGACCCCGCCCACGATAGACAGACGACATATGTCTTCGTTAGGTTGCTGTTCCTGGCCTAGTGGCGCACATCTTGTTGTCGTTGGCCGAGACGCCTGTTTTTCTGACCGTTCAGAGTTCCTGACAGCACCTTCTCATCTTGTCATTTCAGATGTCGAGCAGCAGATGGTTGCAGTTCATTATCACATTAATTCTGTTATTCTCCGAACGATTCGCACTTAAGAAACCGTGCCATGACCTGCTCACATGTTTAATCGAGAAAACTTGTGTAAATGTAAGTTCGTGCTTCCACAGTGATGTAAACGATGACTAGTATGAGTTTTGATTTTTACGCCAAAAACAACAAAGTAGTGGCGACTTGTATGCAATAAGAGCCGCAATGAGGAGATACTTTGACGTCCTTTCAATACCCAAGAGGTAAACACCGTTCACACATTTTACTAAAAGCAAATAGTAGATAATTTTTCAATGAAAACGCCAAGTTTCCCATTCGCGGATGGGAAGCGGCGGAGCATCAAGGGTTCGACCGATCACGTACGAGTCGATGATGTTAGTGGCAGCAGAATAATTGGTGTATTTTCTTTTCGCTGTCGAATGCTGTCGGTAATTTTGTGTTTATTTCTTTGTAGCTTCCATGGCTCGTCGGACGAATCCAAGGCGCAGAGATTTCTGAGCAAATGTACAACGATCTTGATTCAGTAAGTTTTCAACACTGACCAGAATTCAAGTATGATTTTCTTATTATTGTTTTTTATTGCTTTTTCGTCAACTTGGAATACTCTACTCTTTACTATGTTCGCTTGAAAACATTAGTCATTCAACGTTCCTGTCATGATCGAAGGTATCCCTAACAACATATTTTCGTCCTAATCCTTGCTCCACAAACCAAAAAAAGACATAAAACATTAAAAAACGGTTTCTCACTTCAGATTCAAAAACAGGCCAAATTCATTTCTGTTTCCTACTTTTACTTGTTCTCTGTTTTATTTTCTGCTTCCCGATTATTCAATAGTAAACCGGTGCCACTTACTTCAAAAATTGAGGGTGGTCTATCAGTTTTATCTCATCATGTGTAGGGCTCTCTCAAATTTTGTTGAATACGATGCCTAGAGAATTTTCGCCAGTTTGAAAGCCTTTTTTAGATCACTGAATTCCAAGGAACGCCGTTTTTCTTTCATCAGATTTCTGCAATTTCCTGAGCACTAGGGAAAGATGAAGGACTTTCTAGGCTTCAGAAACCTTTCAAATTACTTTACAAGGGAATTTTTTACACGTCATCTTATTTTGTTCACTTCCATATAAATTAAAGAAGATTGAAAGCGCTTTTTTGGGAAAATATGTTTATTTTTGAAATACAGTTGAAAGATCTTGGTTCAACAGTTTCAACGGTGATTATTTAGGCAATAGATTACGGTTGTATATTCACATCTGGGTGCCCACGGGAGTGTACGGCTTGTTCACTGTGTCATAACTCAAAGTTACGAGTAATGAAGGTGCTTGTTGGAGCTGATCCCAATTTAGATGGTACGTTGGTTATCGATCTGTCAATAAGGAGATGATGAGCTTCAATAAAGAGCTGTCCACCTTTTAAGCTGAATGCCACCAGTTGATTGACTGTGCGAAGGCGTGTCTGGCGAAAGGCGCAAGCAATATGCCCAACGTCGGCCGTTGCCTTCGTCATCGTTGCGCCTACCACTGCTTCAACGGATCCTGTCCTAAGTGCTCCGCTTTTATCACTAAGGTCAGCTTCAGCAGCTTCAACATTTCCGTCTTGAACGATTGGCATCTAAATGGGCTCCTTAGCTCATCAAGATCCTTTGTGAAGCGCATTCCTTAGAGATATCTTGCAATGATTTAATACTTGGATACTCGGATGGCCCGCTCTTACTGGTCGCGCTGGCACCAGCACAATTTCCATTTTTTTTAGTTTTGATAGTTAAGCCATTGTGGTTCCTTGGAGTCCCGAGGAGAGCCTGAGCAAAGTCTGGCACCACCACAGGCAGTCGCGTCCCAGTGGATCAGAGGGAGATTTGCCACAATGTTACTTTGATACCAGAACGGTGGTGGATCCTGCCATTGGTTTACTCTCAGCTGGGCTTCCTAATAGAAATGCCGGACTCCTTCTCAGCTCCCTGCCGGGAGGATGAACCTTCCTGTTGTACATCACAGCTCGACACCCTGGAGCACCTTCCAGCTTCGATGAGGCGGTAAACCGTTGAGAGGATCTCTTGCAATACACAGACCACTCCTTGCATCCCAAGCCCCACATCCTTTCCCGGTCCACGAATCGGTACCGAACTTGCCTGGGAGGACCAGATACGTATTCAGTTAGTTCGGTACTGCTTAATTTCGATTTTCGATTGAAAAATTGTACCAATAAGCGGGTTATTGTTTAGTTGACTTATTAGGATTCATATCATACTGTCATGTGAGCCTAACAGCGTTGCTTTGACTCGGCATCAAATTTGTTGAAATCAAGCACCAAAATCGAACCACTTTGCGCTAGAATCTTGATTTTCGTAGTTCTAAACCTTTTTCTTACTTCACTAGTTATTATGGCGTCTACAAAATATCTATATTAAGGTCTTTAACCAAATATGTGTAAGTGGCGAGCTTCGGGATCGAGTGAAAGGATTCAAGGTGTGATTATTAACTTTCACTTTTCTGCCCGTCTTTTCTTTCCTTTTTCAAGAGTGAGATCTTGCTATGTAGGGCCAATGTGCTGATTTGTTTCGACAGATCGTACACGCAAAATTCAGGAAAGAATTCGATGAGGATTCTCATTCGACAAGAAAATGACTATATGTTTTCGTATTTCCCATTCCACACTGTTCTCATTGAGCTTCTCTTCTGTTATAGCATTTAATTGTATGAATTTAGGCATATCGTTCTGTATAAATACAGTTCCTTATTACATATATCTTCTTCGAACATATAAAATTCAATAAGTAATAAATAATTACAAACAGCTCACCAGTGCATATTTTTCTAACCAGAGCGCCCTGGAGGGATTTTGAAATGCGATGGACATGTAGTTTTCCGAACACGTCTTTATATTGTTGAGCTTACAAAGCCTAGTTTTCTTTCGTCGAAGACAAGGAATGCGGCGCATTTAAATTCAGTGTCCAGGTTAATGGAAAGTCAATGCTGAGAACTATATTGAACACGTTCTTGAACTTTCCAACAATTAAAAATGTGGCCATTTTCGCAGGTTTTCCTTTGTGATAACCAGAGAAATTGTTCCTACTCTCCACTAAACAATTTTTTTTAGAACTTATAAGTCAAAACAACCCTGATCTCCTCTAAAGCAGTTAGAATAAATGATTTAAGTTTTAGATGAATGAGCCTTCTAACACTCAAGTGAGATTGGTTCTCGATCTATCAAACAAATATGACTCCGAACGTGAAAACATTTAGCGGAACGCCATTATTTCCCGAATTCCTAGACACTTATCTCAGTTGATGATGCCCTCATTGTCCGTATGGCTGACTGATAAGTTTATAGCGACAGTGGCTGAACAATGTTATGCTTCACGCCATCAAGACAATAGTTTCGTATAGTTTTGTAAGTGAAGGTGCTGAAGATGGACGCGGCATGGCTGGTCTTTTGAAAGCTTGATAAATAGAAAGTAATGCTGGGAAACTGCTAAGACATTCCTCCAAAATTAGTGTTTGGATACTTTCTTGGATTATTAAGTCAACACGAGGTTCGTAAAAAGGTGAATAGTGGTTTAACAACATAACAACCATATTTGGTCCGGCGACATTGTAGAAAAGTCGATAGACATTTCAAGTGAAAGAGTTGAATAGGTAATGTTCAAATCAAGATTTCCGGCCATAGGAACGCAAAGCGGTGGACATCCGAAAAAATTCGCTCTTTTAAGTTCCATTCTAATTCTAAACAAACAGCTCTTGATCAGTTTCATTGAAACTGTACTGTATTTCTCTGGGAAGATGTTATCATAAATGGCAACATATCTGAGGTGGCTGATAATCATTTTATCATCATTCATGATCATCATTAGTCTATTTAATCCACAATCCGTAGTCGATCAGGCTTTTATCACACTATAGGATTCAGCTATCGGATGTTTTCTATAGATTTCTTCCGACTGTAATGAAAAATTGCGATCAACAAACCAGATGATTAAAAAAGCCAAGGTTGTCATTTTCCACTAAATCTGCCTTCTAAATAGTGCTTGCAAAGAAGTTCAAGCACTAGTTTGATAGAGAAAACTCTTACTGAATGCATTTCCGAAACATTTAGCTATTGGTAGGAAAGGATTCGAAGGACGAAGGATTGCTAACAAGATCTAATGCGAAATATACTATGCTTGGCTGAGGCCAATAGCCAAGCTTTTGAATGCAGAGTGATGCGTTTTCTTTAAGGTAGATTGTAACCGATAAGGAGGAGTGCATCTGCCGTGTCTGGTTGTTTTAAAACGTTCATGAATTAATCTAATGGCTGTAAGAAAAAAACGAAGTAAGAAACCCTCGTGCTTCTTAGAGGGGGATGACACTGGTGGAATGCGATTCTTCTCCAGTAGGTTGAGTATTGAACACTGTCTGTATGGGATTTGCTAGCACTGAAAAAACTTATTGGATCAGCAGCTTTTCTCGAACTTCATTAGGCTGTTTGGAAATTAAAGTCGAATTTGTAATTTCATTCTTCTTGTACATGTTTTAGCAACAGGTTTCTCTTATCTCCGTATAGTGGAATTTTGGCGTAAATTGTTGACAAATTTTAAAAGTTAGAATTTCAGCCTTCGAAACAGCACTTTTGACAGATTCACTCCTAGGAATTCAAGTTTAGAGGTAGCTCAGCGCATAACGGCTAGAAACATTAATGAGATACGGGATCAAGGAATTCTCAACGAACGCACAGTAGAAAGTGATCTGAAAGGTTTTACTGCGGCCAATTCGATTTTGAAAATGCGGGATGTCGCGGCTGTCCTTCTGGCACTGATGACGATGCATTGAAGGCTTTTGTGGAAAAAAATACACACGTAACTCCTCCAGAACTTCCAGCAGAATTGTGTAAGCATCTCAACTCTTTTGGAGCACTTGAATTGGAAACTTGTAGAAGCTCAGCATACGGATGACATACGAATTTAATGAAAGTCGCAGAAATAGCAGTTTTGAGGCATCGTTGGCGTTACTTGTACTCAACTAGAACAACTCGTTTTCTAGACGGTAATGCAACGTGCGATGAAAAATGAATATTCTACAAAAGCCAACGACGATCAGCTTAATGGTTGGACAAAGATGAAACTCCGCAGCACCTCCTAAAACCGAAATTGCACCCAAAAGGAGAAGGTAACCGTTTGATGGTTAACAACTTGTTTCAGCTACCAAAGCTTCATTAATAACGCGCAAAACGACTACGAACGAGAAGTACGCCCAGCAAATCAACCAAACGTACCGAAAACTTCAACAGCAGAAAGCGAACAGACTTCTACTTCTACACGACAACGGTCAGGTCAGCCACAGATCGCACGCTACCGACGCTGCAGAAGTTGAACGCGGTGAGCTAAACACAACACTCTTCGGAACTCGGCTTACCAACTGCAACTTCTTGAAATTCGACGAATCTCTGCGCAACAAGTACTTTGGAAACCAAGCCAAAGCCGAAACTGCCTTTAACGGCTGCATTGCCACTGGAAGTCCTGAACATTACAGAAGCCGCATTCTTTATTTTTCGTTGGTAAAAACGTGTGAATTGTAGCAGTTCCTATACCAACTGATAAAAATTTCTTTGACTTAACATATACCACTTTGAAAATCTAGCTCAAAATCCGCTATTGATTTGCAAACAACCTAGTTTATTTCAATTTGTTAGCACTCATTTTCCCTTTCATAAAATCAGCAATATGAGAACTCGGCGGCGACCAGTTTCTTCGATAATGACAAAAATTTCTGGCTTTCATTTGCCTAAGTGAAAACGACCTTTGAAGATACGAAAAAAGAACGTGTATTAAACGGAAAGATCTTGTGGAACATCCAAATACATTACAATATATCTTTCTAGATTATTGAGCTACGGCTAGTTAACATTACGATATGTTTTCAGCTGTTATGTTCGTAAATAAATATCTAAAAACTTCCAAGCTCTCGTAAATGCGCATTTTATGTGCCCTTGAAAATGTTTCAGAATTTAGCCGGACTTAGACAGTGTACTACTGTCGAATGGATATCCTGGCATGTCAATTATTGTTCAGTGTTTCCTAAACAACCTTTCAAATCCAAATACGACGAAAAAAGACTTCTATTATCCGTTATTCCGTTAACCATCAAATCACTTGAGCAGTCAGCAGTAGAGTAATCATTCGCCTCTGCCGCATGTCGCTAGCTTCCCACTGGGCTGCACGTGAACGAGTAGAAGGAATAAAACCTCGCTAATCGTATTAGACTTTCCTTCTTGGCGGCGAGTAGGATGGACTAGCTGGATTCACTGGTGGAGCTGGATATACTCACGGGTTCACTGAGAGCATAATTGGGAAATGCGAGAAAAACGGTTCCAGTGCAAGATGTTCTAGGATCGCACAGTAGATGTGATGACAAGTCATGTTAAAAAAATCTACGTACAGGCAAGTACACAGCCGTAAACAAGCATGGCCACTACCACTTGTGTTCTGAAGCATAAGCCAATCAAGCGCAGCGCACACAAGGACCCCATCGCCTGAATCTACCGACGTCACAGGGTTAGTACATTGGTGCTTTGTTCAACGGTCTGCATGAGTCATCCTAAATGAAAAAGAGTAAACACTGCTACATAGTGGTAGCATGAAATTTTCCGAGTACTTAGTTGGGAAAAATAAAGCGCGAGGAAAATTGGGTTGTTACTTCTATTCTATATGAAAGACTCTTCACCAACAATTCACAACCTAAAAAGTGAATCTATGCCACGACATAGTTCGACGAATTTCCAGTGGTTGCCTCCACACGAAAAAAAACCAATAAAAAAGACATTGCATTGAATGTTTTGTGTTTTTTGACTCCCTTCGTTCAACTATTGGGTTTCATATAGATAAATATAAGTTGCAGGTGCTCATTCAAGTTCCTCAGTGATTTACGGTACAACAGATGAAACAGGTGCTACCGAAATAATTGTTAACATAGCTTTTCCTCTTCGAGCAAATTTTGTGCAATAACATCTTCGTTTTTAGTAAGTGTTAAAAGTAGTGTGGCTACGTTATTCTCAATTCAACCTACGATTCCATCATTCTCAAATTATTCACTCAGCACAATAACGTCACAGACATCCATTAAGAATAAATCAAGTGGATAACAGTTAGTCGAAAACACAAAACGCGACAACTTTAACTTAAATTCATACACTAAAGGGAATAGAAATACGTCGAATTATGATAGGACATACACTACCCTAATTGCCTAACGAAATGAACTAAAATACTCATCTACCATGGATTCTCGAAAAATTACTCTGAGAATACCGTCATATACAGCATACACGACGCTTTCAAGGTCAACGTTGATTACAATTCCATTGATTTACAGGTTGCACGACTGTTTTCAGGTCGTAAACAATTTGTTCAGGGTCAAATCAGTCTTCGTCACACACAGCGACGTTTGAAGCATCATTGTTGCGAAACAAGTACGTTAAACTACAGCCGGATAACATTATCCGAAAAAGTACTGCGTCAGGATACAGCCATCTCTCTCATAACGGAGGCGTTGCGTTGAGCACGGCTGGCATAGTGAAATAGGAGCGATTTATCGTCGGCGGTGGGCCTTCTCGTTTTATGGCAACAAAAAGTCACTTTTCAAGTATTGGGGTGCTTTAGGGGTTATGAAGGTAAAAACTGTTTAGGAGACTTTCTCCATAGTTTTATACGTATGAGCGATATGTACGCTAACATTTAGTATGTGTTACTATAGTCCACCGTGTAAATACATTGCACTCGGCATTTGCAAGTATCTTGCGAGTCATTTGGACTCTGTTTCGGTACTTTTGTATGAGGACATTCCATAAAATAAGCATAGTGATCCGAATGAAAACAACAGTTAATAGCAAGTTACCAACCAATCAACTTTTCCAAAATAAGCTTTTTATAGCCACTATGTGTAAAGAATTTTGCTCTCATGTATATTAACTACAGAATGAGTATACACAGTGCAAAAAGAAAAAAAACTCCAGATTTTGACTAGGCTCGTGTTGTTCCTGCACATCAGCTGATAGTGGATGTAAATGAATAAAAAAAAGGATAGAGTTCTCGGTGTTGAAATCCCTGAGGAATGCACCATGCATTCGACTTCATTAAGCAGCGTTAGAGGTGACTGAATGCCCCTAGTTATAGAAGGGTTGGCGAGCCCGGAGCAGGATCGATCCTATGTGTGTTGTAGGGCGTCTCTAATTACTACGCTACACCCGCCTCTAATGTAATTGGATAGAACTTTTATTAACACATAGCAATTGGTATGGACACCATAGTGTCCATGCGTCCCTGACTCAGGGAAATTACAAGCCACACCCTAAAAGTCGACTTTTCAACTCGGGTGAAGAAAATTGTTATGTAACAGTTCTAAACCCAAGACTGTGAAAACGTTAAAGGATAGCGAGGACAAACGGCAAAACTGAACTGGTGTTGCGAAAAAAAG